AACTGCTGTTTAGACTTTTGTATATCTTTAATTTTGGTAACTGTCTTGTGTGGATACATTTAATACTTAAAAAATCCTGAAGCTATTTAAAATTCTGATTCTTAAAATTTGAATCCTAAATTCTAAAAAGTCCTAAAGTTATCTCATATAAATTAAATGCTTTAGCAAAGTTGTATAGTTTTTGATCAAACACGAGGTTTGGTTATGAAATAATGAGATATATTTGTCCTTGTGTGTTGTAAACCATCTCTGAAGTCAGAATGTTTTATGCTACCACAGATGATACAAAGAACTATCACATGGCTACTAATCTAAAAGAATTTATAAACTGGGGAGAAAAAACTTATACTGAAATAATAATGTCAAAACACCAATCACATCTCTAAGCATAAAACAAGCTCATGTGTTCATCAGTCATCTTCAGTAAATTCAACTTTCCTTCATCTTGGCAGAGTAAGATAAGATTTGGCTTATTAAGCATTCCACAAAGAAAATTGTAGAATTATCTGAGTGGCACATTAGAGATCATTTAGGCCAATCTTGTTTACATTAACTCTTTCTGTTGTGATAGATTGCTTAAGCAAAGGATGGAGTTATTGGTGTGTTTGATAAAATTGGCTCATGTAATCTGGGAGCAGGCTGGTGCTCAGACTTTTGTTTCTAAATACCATTTGCCATGTAAGTGGGAACGGACTTGCTTGGATAAATAGCTGATTCCAGAACTAGAGCAAAGAACATATGATGTGGATTTGGGACAACTTGCTATAAGAAAATGAAGAAAATGGCGTTAAAAGGACAAAGGAACCACTTTGAAGGGACCCCAAAATGGCCAAGTTTGGGACAATATGAACATCAAAAAAAAATGATGTTGATTATTACACAAGTAAAAAGGGTGGGAGGGAGGGCAGTGAAAGTTCTTTTTGTAAGAATACCGGCTAATAATTATGGAAGGAATGATAGAATCAGAAAAATCACTATTTTGTAGTCCCAAGTGGAATAATCAAAGCAAGGGTTATTAGTGGATGGTAAGTCATGGTAAAAAATTATTGAGAAATATGACATGGTACCAAATTATCACCCCTAGGAATTTTACTAATATAAAGGGGCATATGTACCTTTACAATAGATGTGGCAGTAAACATCCTAACCAAGCGATCAAGCTAGCATCAATAATAATGGATTAACTTAACATTTTGTATCATTAGATGTTATGAAATATGAATTTCATAGTCTGAAGTGTTTTTGCCAGAACTGTTTAATTTGCATTTAGACTTAGCTTTTGGTTCACTGTAAATACAGGTGATGGAGGAACAGGTTTAATGATACCATGAAAATAGTAAGACAAATGCAAAATGTGGGACCTTCTATAAGACAACTTGTCTGTACTCTTCAAAAAGTCAGTGTTTTAAAAATAAAAGGTAGTGGAATTTCTCAATTAAAAGATACTGCAAAAATAAAGCAACCAAATGCAATGGGTAGAATTTAATTGGATCCTAGACTGGGGAGGACATAGCATAAGGAGACATAGGGTAGGCAACTGAGGAAATTTGAATATGGAATAGATATTAGATAACAGAATTATTAATTTTCTTAGGTGTGATAATGGTATTGTATGTAGGAAAATATCTTCATTCCTAGGAGATGCATATTGAGCTATTTAGGAGTGAAGTGTTGTGATATCTGTTACTTGCTTCCAAATACTTCAGCAAAATACATTTTATAAATAAAGAGTTGGCGTATAAAACCACATATATAGGGGCACCTGGGTGGTATACTCAGTGAAGCGTCTAACTCTTGATTTCAGCTCAGGTCATGATCTCACGGTCTTGAGATCCAGCTGGAGTCGGGCTCTTTGCTCATCGCAGAGTCTGCTTAAGACTCTCTCCCCCTGTGTGTGCGCGCTCTCTCTCTCTCTCTTTAAAATAAGTCTTTAAAAAAATAAAAGCACGTATATATGGCAGTATGTTCCAGTTGTTGAATAGGTGGAGTGTTCACTGTACTATCTTTTCAACTTTTGGTTTGAAATTTTTAAAAATAAACTGGAAAAAGAACAAGCTCAGCACGATGAAAACAAAACCTGTGTCTCCGGAGTGGCAGGCAGGCTGTCAGTCCCAGCTTTGTCCAGTGCTTCTGCAATGGTATTGGGGCCGACTTCCTCCATCCCTCAACTTTGTTCCTGTGCATGCACAGAGCTGAGCACCCATGAACATCAAGTGAAATGTGATCCTGGTGTAATTAGCTAAACTTCAGATAAGTGTGAAAAATCTCCGAATAAGATTAACAGACAAGCTTGAGGCAGAACCTTGTGTTACTCATTTTTAGCATTTTCAGTGTCTGGAATGTTGTAGGTATTCAAAAACTGTTGACTGAAGAAATACCTACAGGGAAGACCAAATCCGAGGATTGCCTCAAAAAATGAGAGCATCCCAGTGACCTTTTCCAAATCCAGTAAATATTTGTGGAATTTAATAGAATTGAACTAGTTAAGAGTCAAATAAGGTTAAGGTTGGTTCCAGAAGTAAGGGGAAGACCTGCTTTTAAATATTTATGCAGTAATGACTCCATTTTTTTTTAACTTTTAGAAATAATACTTTTCTGAGTTAAGGAAGCACTTGAGTGGAAGTCTACTGTAGTTTTTCCTATACAGGGTGAAATCTGGGTTTGGTGAGAAATCTTCAGAGGGTGGCATGTGCAATTATGCTTCTCCTTGGTGAGCTATGAGTTGGGCACTTAATTATGTAAAAAATATTGCAAGAGAGCCGTTGCATAATCCCCAAGAGAGTAATTATTGTCTATCTTGGCAGAATGCAAGGCTTTTAATCTGTAAATAAGCAATCCTATGTGGAAGAGCTACATGTAGAGTGATTTCTGTGTTGTAAAGGTCTCTTATGAATTTTTTAAAGTGCAAGTGGTAACTCCATGTGCTGATTGGCTTCTGCCTTTGTGCTTCAAAGGGTTTATGATGCTTCCCCTGTGATTTTAACCCCTCCTGAAATATTTAAGCCTCTGAGAAGGATTCCTGTAAAGGATCAAACTGCATCTGAGTTAAGCCTGTAAAAAATCTGAATGTCTCAAATACCAAGGAAGTAAAACATGCTCTAATTTAAAAAAATATATATATGAAAAACAAAACAACAAAACATTGACAGTGCTAAAAAAAAAAAAAAAGAATGCTCAATTTAGCTGATGGGTTTCTCACTTATTGGGAACTGCCACTGCAGCTCATATTTCCAAAAAGAAGTAATTCACTTTCAGGGTATGTGTGTGTTTTGCTTAGGTGGATCTGAGTCTTTTGGATACTGAAAGTAAATTTTGTTTTTAAAAAATTGTCAATGGATCTGCCTTCCCTCTTGTTCCTCCTGTTAGTATTAATGAACTGAGCATTCTCTCTCCAAGTTAGATTTCTCCACATGAGCAGCAGAGCCCCCACTCTCCACCCCTTTGCCTACTCAAGGACCTCATTCGGGTGACTCACCTTCTCTTTTGCACGACCAACTTTCTCCTCTCTACTGAATTATTCTCATCAAAATAAAAACATGTTGTAACAGCTTCCATTGTTTTTTAAAAAGGCCTTCTTTGACTTGTCTCTCTGATTACCTCCTCAATCCTCTGTTCCCCTTTGCAGCAAACTCCTTAAGAGTCTATATTATATATTCTCTCTTCACTTCCTCTCTTCCCATTGTCTCTTAGACCTGCTCCAAGCACTCTGCTCCACATGAAACCTGCTTTTATCAAGGTGTACCCATGACCTTCACAGTGCCAGACTCCATGGACAGTGCTTGGTCAAATCTTATCTGCCTGTCCTGAGCAGCTAGCAGAGTTTATCATTCCTTCTTTCTAGAAACTTTCTTTACTTCAGGGAAAACCTGTTCTCCTGATTATTCCCCCTTCCTCACCAGTCACTTGTTCTCAGCCTCTTGGTGGGCTCTTTTCCTGATCTAAGATTACTCAGTCCCAGGTCCTTTCCTCTGTTTTCTGCTGAAGTCCTCTCAGGCAACATCATGGTTAAAAATGTTCTGTATACTCTAAAGACTCCCAAATTTATGTCTGGAGTACACACCTGTACCCTGGACTGCAGACTTTATAAAAGTCATCTAGTTGCCTGCTGCCCCCATTCCATTGGATGAGTAATGGGCATCTCAAATTTAACGTGGTCGAAATATAATACCTGGTCTTCCCAGGGTTGTCTCTTACCCTCCTATCTGCTTTCCCAGTCTTTATCTTTGCTCCACCCCCTTTCCATCTATATTAAAAATAGCAGCTGGAAAGACCCCAGTAAAACATCAGATCATATCCCTCCTCTGCCCCAAAGCCTCAAATGACTTCTGTCTTGGTCAGAGTAAAAGCTGGTCCAACAAGGTCTTTCGTCATCTGACCCCATTACCTTTCTAGCTCACCTCCTACCTTTCTCACTGTCACTCACTCTGCTCCAGCCACATTGGCCCCTTCCTTACACCTCAGATACTTCTGTCTCAGGGCTTTGCCATGGGATGCTACTTTAAGTTGGAATGCTGTTTCCTGTACTTCACATGGCTTGTTCCTTCACCCCCTTCAGGTCTCTGCTTACCTGCTCTTTTCCCACTTACACCTTCTCTAACTATCCATTTAAGCACCCTGCCCACCACTGCTCCTGATCCCTCTTCCTGGCTCTCTTTGTTTTTTTTCCATTGCACTTACCACAACATGAAAATAAAATATTTACTTTTTCGTTTTTGTTGCTGAGTTTTTTCTTGTCTGTCTGTTCTTATTAAAATGTAGGTTTCACAAGTTTTCATGACACTTCACGAGGGCAGAAATTTTGTGTATCTTCATAGATGTAACACCTGTGCCTAAGCGGGTACTCAGTGAATACTGCTGGATTAATTGAAAAGCAACCTCAAAAGTTGATTGATTTTTTTTTTCCCCTCCATTTTTTTTTTTAATAGCATTCTGGGTGGGTAGAGGATATAGAGCATTCAGAATGATTCACTATATACTAATAGCTATTTCCTATTCCTCAGTTTCTCTGTTTGAAGAACATAAGGACATTCCTCACGGCCTGTTGCGAGACCTTTGGAATGAGAAAGAGTGAACTCTTTGAAGCATTTGACCTGTTTGATGTTCGTGACTTTGGAAAGGTAATCGCATTTCATTTTCTGTGTATTTTCTTTTACTGGGGAATATTTTATCAAATATTTATTGTTTCTTGTTGAAGGACATGTGACTTAAGTGGTCTAAGTATCTGCATTATGTAATTAAATTTCACATGTAGATGACTTAGCAAAAAAGCAAATAACAACATTGTCCAAATGGGACTAGAATTATTATTTTTAAAGATTTATTTATTTGAGAGAGAGCGAGCAAGCATGAGCGAGTGAGAGGAGAGGCAGAGGGAGAGAATCTTCAAACAGACTTCCCACTGAGCACAGAGCCCAACGCAGGGCTTGATCTCACCACCCATGAGATCATGACCTGAGCCAAAACCAAGAGTCAGACCCTTAACCGACTGAGCTACCCCTGTACCCCAGGACTAGAATTATTTTTTTATTTAAAGCAGTACAAGGAGAGTCTTTTTACCCAGAAGTAGCTTTTCCTATTGGCTACCTCAGAGGGTAGGACTACGGTTTTCCATCCTACAAATAGTAGGACCAGTATTTTTTCCCTTCCAGTCTTTTCTATATCTGAAAAGCACCTAATTTTTGGAAATTGAGAATGTTCTGCTTCCCCTCTATTTTGATACTTGGGTAGGTGACCAGGAAGACATGAATCCAAAATGTTTGAGATTGTTAAGTAATTCCTATTGCTTGGATTCCAGCAGACACATGTTAGCTTGTTGGACTTCAATGATATTTGCCACATGTAAATTGTTCTATTTGCTGTTATTACTTGTATGTAGACCAAACACTTGTGTGTAATAGGTGACAGAAATTATTCTTTTAAAAGTGTGGTCATTTATTTTGAAGTGACTGGGCATAAACAAACTTTTTGCATGTGAGAAGTCATAAAAGAGGTAATTAAGGTGACCTTATTTTAGCCCCCGCTGACATAATTGCATTATGAAAATAAGCCCATAAGAATTAGGAAAAAAAAAAAAACTAAATGATACTCAGAAGTTTACCCTTACTCTTGTAATTCAGGTGTTAGTATCTCATCAAAAGGCTGTTTGAGAGTGACACTTCATTTGATTTCTAAGATGTAATATTTTAGTTATAAAGTGAAACCCAAGCAGTGGATTGGTATGCTTGACAATGGGAATAAATTGCACAAACTTGAAACAGACACATAAAAAATTTGATGCTGAAATTTGATGCAAGTATGGGTGAGCCACCTTGCCTCGGGCAAGAGAAGCCTTGGCTTCTTGACCCATAGTCCCTTTGTCATCTTCTGGAAGTCACCAGTCTTCTCATTCATCAGACTGTCAGTTTGGAAGCCTGTGCAAAAGGAAATGGGTGTAAGACCATGGTTTCTAAGATTCCTTTTTCCTCTGGCAAGCTGTGATTTAACTGTTTTGAGGTCCAAAAAAGTGATGGAGGATAACATAACAAATAAAAGCAACTGAAAACCAAGCCTGGTCGGGAGGTTGGTAGCATATTTGTCTGTGGCCAGGAAGTGAAGCCATGAAGACGAAGAGGAATCAACTAGAATTCCAGGTAAGGTGAATAGTCCTCTAAGTTGTTAGCCCTAAAAAACATTTTCATAGTTTAAAAAGATCTTTTCTTTAGTCTTTGACTCCTCCCCCCTAATTTTTAAAAAAAGTATTTTTTGATTTTCTTTTCACTCTTTTGGGGAAATGAAAAATGAAAATGAATTAGGGAAATGAAAAATGAAAAAAGGTCTAGACTTCTTAAAGCTTTTCAAGGAGTTCTTCATTTTTCATTGGTTTGTAAGAAATGGTGTTGACAAAGACTGGGAAATCATCTAAATTCTTTGGAAACACATGGCTTTGTTCTAGAGGAATACCGCTGTGCACTTACACAACGGAAGCTTTTGTAGGAGTTGAGATAATAGAGTTGAATGTGAAGGAGTAAACTGTATGCTTCTCAAGGGTAAATGTGTTTCTGTCTACTTAAAATATTTTGGCCATGATAAGTCTGAAACAGAGTTAAACTTGGGGATGTCATTGAGAACTTGATCCTGTACTCAGCACTTTAAAATCGCATACATTTTTGCTACTGCCAAGATTGGTGCAGTTATCTCTTCCAAAACTGTATCTGGCCTAAATAAACCACTGAAAGTTTAAGAATTTAGGATGCTGTTTCATACCTTGCCAGTATTACTACCATTAAACATTATTACTCTAAGCAAAGCCATCGATCCTACCACTTACTGAAAACTTTTGAGATAATTGGTGTCTTTTCAATCTCTCTCTCTCTATGTATATATGTACACACACACAAACACACACATACACATATACATATACATACACATACATAAATATATAATCATTAATCCTCACAATGGCCCTCTGAGATGTAAGTACTATTCAAATCACACATCTAGTAGAGATCGGAGCAATGGTTTCAACCCAGATCTTGCTGATTCTCATTGCTACCATGGTGCAAACGTTCACATAGCAGTCCAAGTACTTTGCACATATTGACTCAATCTTCATATCAGTCCCTCCACGTAGGTACCATTATCATCCCTACTTGCAGATCCTGGGCTGTAAGTGACAGAACTTGGACAGTTCATGCAGTTTTTAATTTTTACATTAAAAAATGTGAATAGTGTGTTGATATAGAGACTAAATCATACCTGGTATTGTGACTATAAATTTTAATAGGATGCAAACAGGTTAGTTTATTTCTCTTCATTCCTTGGGATTTAATTAAATTTTCAATTAACATAAAAAGAGAGTATCTATAACTATATGCCCCCCTGTCTGCCTCAATTGATAAAAATAACAAATCTAGGGTTCATGTGTATTTGGCATCTTTTTGCCTAGGAATATATTAATTGTAATAGTATCTAATGCTTTGGTAGCATTTTGAAGCTTGGAGAGTACTTCATATCCCTGACCTCATTTGAGTTTCATGATAGTCATGTGAAGGAAACAAGCAAGTCTTCTCCTTTCTCAGATGAGGAAACTAAGAAATGGGGAGGTTTAACGGTGATTTCAAGGTGTCCTTGGTTAGGATCTGGATCAGACCTTCTGACTTCCCAGGCCTTTGTTTTTCTTGTCTGCCATCTACGTCTGGGTGTCGCTGCTGTGGAAATGCGCAGGGAGAAGGCTGAACTCATGGGAGAAAACCAAAGGAATCTATGAAAATTAAAGCACAAGTGATCTGTGACTTGGCATCTAATTACACTTTTTTTTTTTTTAAAAAGAGAGGAAAGATTTAGGATACTGCATAAGCCTTTAGTATAATGGTAGTTGAAATTAAGAACTCTACCTGAACAAATGTTTCACAGATTCTCATATGTACACAGGCAGTTGGATTTGAGCTAACCTTCCCCCCCACTTCTCCATTGTGGTGTAGTCTGCTCCCTAATCTTTGTCTATGTTCTCCCTTGGTTCTGGGTTCCTGAAATCTACCCTGAATCATAGGCTTTGATATGGATAGTTTTCTTTTGGAAATTAGCAAAATCCTGGGAAAACCAAAGGAATTTATGAACTTAAAAAGTTTGATCTGTCACTTGACATCTAATTATTCTCTAGAAAGAGAGGATTTAGCATGCTATATGTGTTAACACGAATGAAAGTTTTTTAATTTTTGAGATAGTGAAGAGCACACATTTTGGTGGGTACTCTAGAGGAGCTTATGATAATTTTGCCTTTCAGCATTACTTTTAATTCCTAGTATTGAGCTCTTTACCCAGTGTTAGGAGAATATTCATTTTAATTCAAACTCGTGTGTCAAAAAAAGAATATTTCTGAGCATTTTCTATAACTTGATTTTGTTTTTCAAATCACACAGGGATGGGGAATGAGTTTAGTAAATTAGAAGGTTAACTTTTTTTTTTTTTTTTTTAAGATTTTATTAGCACACAAGCAGGGGGAGTGGCAGAGGGAGAGGGAGAAGCAGACTCCCTGCTGAGCAGGGAGCCCGATGCAGGGCTTGATCCCAGGACCCTGTGATCATGACCTGAGTCAAAGGCAAATGTTTAAATGACTGAGCCACTGAGACACCCAAGTTGACTTCTGTTAAAAAAGATCCATCTTGGGGTGCCTGGGTGGCTTAGTCAGTTAAGTGTCCATGATCTCAGGGTCGTGAGATCGAACCCCCTGTCAGACTCTGTGCTGGGTGTGGAGCCTGCTTAAGATTCTCTCTCTCTCTCCCCCTTTCCCTCTGCCCCTCCCTGCCTCCAATCTTTTTCTGACTGTATAATAACAAAAAAAGTAAAGTTGTCTCAGTTGACTTCTTTGCTTAAGAAATGTAATAAACTTCCTGCCCTAGAAAATTAGCCGTTATTAATTATAATACTTTTTACATTGCAACAGGATCCATAAATTTCCTCACTTCCATGCTGCATAAATGATATTCTATTCCTCTGTTCAGATTGTCATGTTCTGACTAACGATTTTGCTGTTTGAAAATGTTTCCTACTGAGCTGTCTGTTGGCACATTTACAGTGCGGAAGCACATGGGATTTTTCTTCAATGAGACCATTTCTAGTGAGTAATAGAAATCCTGTTGCTGCTGTTGTCCAGATGAGTGATGAAGTCAGCTCCTTCCTTTGGTTGCTCTGGGTGGTGGAAGGGCCTGCATCTTGCTACCGACAGACTTCACATCTGTTGTTTCAAGCATTGTTAAGCACCTTTCAAGTGTAAGGTGATAGGTTTTCTTGAATCAAAGAAAATCCCACCTAACCGAAAGTAGTTCTAGCTGATTTTAGTAGCAATAGGATAGTTGCAGTGTGTTAAGGTTCAGGACAGGCACTGCCAAAAGGAAGTCAGAGCATTGGCTTAGAGGTGGGGCAGGGTTACAGGTAAGAACATTATTGAGAGAGAGGTAATTGTGTGTTTGGGTTAAGAATATGGTTTCTGAGTTGGATCTTGGTTTGAATTCTGGTTATACTCCTTACAAGTATGTGATCTTAGGCAAGTCACTTAACTTGGTTGAGCTTCAGTTCCTCATCTATAAATTGGCGATGTGAAGTGTTTAACAGAGTATTTAGGTTTAAGGGATGTACT